AAAAAATCAGTTGTGCGAGGGCGTACGAGGGCGCTCTACAACAATAACTAAAAGCATATTGATCACTGATGTCTCGAGCCAAGACTAAGCGAGTACCTTGCTATGGGCTCCGATCCGTTACGCACAAGTACGGGTCTACCCGATATCCAATACCTATGTTTTCCAATACCGATGTTCCCCGAAATCCTTAGGATTAGGGTTAGGGTAAGGATTTCGGGGAACATAGGTATTGGGGAACATCGGTGTTGGGGAACATGGGTATGCACCCCACAAGTACCCCCTTCAATGGCCGGAAAAGAAGAGTTGGGGTGACCTAGACTGGTTCCCGGTCCATCCACTGCGTATTTCGAATGATCCAAAATTCTTGGGGGCCGGGATTAGTCTGCGAGACCATCGCCTACGGTGGCCAACAACTGTCACGGCAAAAGCAAAAGCGCCGCGGCAAGCGCAAAAGCGCCACGGCGAAAGCAAAAGCGCCACGGGTTTATTGGTAAGGGGCTAATCATACATGCCGCTACTACATCAAAAAATAAAATGGGAAGGAGAATGGCCGCCACCAGGAATTCTTATTAATCACAGAATTTAATTCTTTGAGAAGTGATTTCATGGCTGAGAAAATAGCAAGGCCAAGGAAACCGGTCAGTGCAAGCAACGTTCAGGAAATAAATCGTCGATATTAATTTGTTGTAGGATAATTCCAAGATTATTCCAAGAGAGTTGCTGCTCACTTGTGTGCCTACACTGGTATACACACCGGTGAACTAAGGCTCAAACATTAACGGAACTCTTCTCTGCATGCTAGTCGGAAGGGAAAAAAAACTCTTCAAAAAATGCATCAGCTCACAGAGCCTCCCGTCCTCGTAATTGTTTTGCATCCCACGAAATGTAAAGAAATGAGGAACGGCCCTGATAGTGCTGATAGTGAGTCCCACTCCTTTATAAACTCTGATCCACGGCAGCAACTCTCTTGGAATAATCTTGGAATTATCCTACAACGTGATGAGTTTCACCAATCAAATGACAAGGATCTGTATGTCGGATATCTAATATAAGTTATCCCGCGAGCGCGAGTGGCACACGGAACAATGTAGTGCGTCTGTGTCCCACATACCATACCTTTTAGCGGTTATAGGGTGCAGACCAGTAAATCGGTCGGAAATTGCTTACGCCAGCCAAATCACGATTTGCATGCCCTCAAAATCTTCAGTATTTGAGCATGCTGTGGGCCATGAACTTGAGGGTTTGTAAAAAATATGGGTGGAAGCCGTGCACAGGACTGGGAGCTTGCAGTTCTGTGTAATTTGGATGTAATTTGGACCCTAAAAGCGCTCTATTTTGCAATGGAGTGTAGGCATCGTTTTTCAAAATGGCGATGGGCTTCAGGACTATTTTCAGGGGTGGTCATCTTCAGATGGAAATTTCTCCTAAAAGTCATCAGTTGACCCCCCTAAAATTGAAAAGAAAATGAAAGATGATGAAATAAGCTTTAATTTGATGTGGGTCTCGAACACCTTGGCGAGTTGTGAGTATTTTTCCCGAATTTCTGAAGTGGGAGCATTTACCATTGGGGTCTATGGAAGTTTATTTACTGGTCTGCTACCTTAAGCGCGCGCATGCAGCTGGAATGTCGCTCGCATCTTGGAATAGCGCAATACGCAGGGTGCGATATGGACCGTGCAATACAGCCTCTTATATAGCCGACATACAGATCCTTGTCATTTGATTGGTGGAACTCACATCACGTGGCATTTGTTATTGCTCTCATTCATGCCGCGGCTCAAAAAGTACTATCCGCCCATGGGGAATGGGAAATACTATTCAACAGTTTGACGCGGAATTTGTGTGCAAATGCATGCTGGTGTGCGCGTTCAGCGTTGCGCGTATTGTTCCAAAGAGCCAGCGCTACAGCGTTGGGTTCAAACATTTTCGTGAAAGGGTGGTTTGAAAGAGAGAAATACATTTTCCTCCATTTTTTGTATTGAAAAAAAAGTTCGAATAATCAAATGACAAGGATCTATTTGTCAGTTATATAAAACAAATATTGAATGGCTTTAAATTGTGAAATGGGAGGAATATTATCGCTCGGTAAAATCTGGACTTTTCCAGTTCACTCGGCTTCGCCTCGTGAAATGGAAAAGTCTAGATTTTACCTTGCGATAATATTCCTCCCATTCCACGCTGAGCCACTCAATATTTGTATAATATCACACTGTTGTTGCCATGGATCGACCAATCAGGATCGAGGATTCAAGTTTACTTGAAGATAAGAAATGTAATACTCCATATTGGCGGGCCAGATTAATATGAAATGTAATACTCCATATTGGCGGGCCAGATTGTAAATAACATTTGAACTTCCAAACACATCGTGTTTACTCACGGCGGCACGAATTGATGAAACATAATGGTATAATTTGAAATCAGCATTAACAACTGTGCCCAACGATGTTCGGGAACGAAATTAAAGTATCTTTCCATGGAGTTTGAACGATACAACTTACAAGCGTTGAAGTAACTGGAAACTTATGTTACAGCAAAGCAAAGTTATTCACTGTTAATTGTGACATCAAACAATAAAGTCTGACTTTGAATAATTGCTTCACAAATTGATTTGCGCCCGACAGTAGGCCTACTTCAGGTGGATCTTTTTGTGCTGTAGAGGCGTTGCAGGCACCACAAATAGAGGAGGAAAAGGATGGTGTTTTTTTTTTTTGGGGGGGTCAAAACATACCCACAAAATTAAATTAGTCGAGGAACACAAAGAGAGAAACACATGAATAAAATCACTTCTGTGGTTTCCAAAACTATATGCACACACATATAATATTTTCTAGAAATTAATATTATGCGCAACAAATATAAAATTCCGAGAATCCTACTGAATACCTATTTAAATAAATTATCTAATTCTGTATCATTCTGTAATAACCTCAAAAGCTTGCAAACGTCTGATGCACTGTTAAATCTACACAATAATATGCAGTAGTCCACGAGCAAAAGAGCTGCTTTCCTTTTGAGAGGGGGTTACAGGAAAGGGATAAGCGAAGTTATGTATACATTTTAAAAGCCTGTTTTACATAAGCTTAAGTTTACCCGACATTCCAAATCTACCAACTATGAACTACACTCAACCAAAAAAGAATGTCCCCCCCCAATACTTTTTTGTTTAACTGAAAAACTACAAAATTATGCAATTGATGACAAACGATACAAAAAAGTTGCACTTTTGTATGCGTGCAAGTTGAGTGTGATGAACATTTCGTCTCTAACTCAATCTTCCAACAAAAATTACTTAAAATAAATTTAAAGATTTGTTGGCTATCTTTTCACCCTTTCCTTTACTGCATACTTTTCATGTTCTTCGAGGTTCAGTAAAGGAAACTGTAAAAAGATAAGTAACCAACGAAATGTGAATTTTTTCAAAAGAATTGTTTGTTGGAAGATTGCGCTAGAGACGACATGTTCAGTGTTGAGTGTGAACATTTCGTGTCTAATGCAATCTTCGAACAAAACATTTCATAAATTTTGTTTTCAAGTTTTGTTGGTTGCCAAATTTCTAGTGTGGGGGGAGGGGGGGGGGGGTTGGCGATTTTTTTTGCACAGCACCTTGCGTCTCACCCGCCATGACTCTTTTCTCGATCGTATAAGTGCATAATTCGATGCTTACATGAAAGTTGGGAGGTGGGAGGGTGCTCTATGGGCAAGTATTCACTAGTAGAATTGGCCCACACTTCTGTTAGGGGGGGGGGGGATTCTACAATGCTCATCTTACCCGTAGAGTAGTGTCGGGTCGGTTTTGGTTTTGCATTTGCGATTGTCGGGTTGACGCGGTTAAGCCATTTTTGGAAAAAAAAATAAATAAACCGGAAAAACTTAAACAGTTCGGCAAATGACTTGGTGCAATATTTATTGCGGAGTCACTGTGCCCGGTACGACCAAAATCAGGGGCGTCTGTAGCAAGGTCATTTTTATTGGGGAGAAGGGGGGGGGGGGGGTAAAAATGTCTTGAAAAGGGCACTTGCAAATCCGTGCTGAAATGTAGACACGTTTTTTTCCCTGAACACTTAGCCTCCGTAAATAAAATAAATCAAATACTGGGGGCGGGGGGGCGGGGGGGGGGGGGGGGGGGGGGGGGGGGGGGCGTGGGGGGCGTGGGGGGGGGGGGGTTTACCATCCGTCGATGGGAACGTTGTTCAAAACAAACAATTATTATGCACACTAACGGACAATATATCATGCTTTTCAGGGTGATACATTTGCGAAATTAACAAAAAAGCACCCGTAACGGGTGATGACACACAAAAGGGCAAGACTTATTTTTTTAAAGGGAATATACATCATTTGCTTTTGCTGTAATTTTCAGAAATGGATGGAACTGGGGGGTTGGAAATATATGGCAAATATAGTTACACTGACCTTTTTGAGGTTTTGGGTTCGAAAATGCTATAAAAACCAAGAAAAACAATCATTTTCCTGTAGTCTGGTTCCCTGACTCCATATAAGAAGAAACAGAGCAGTTTACATACATTGGGGAATTGTAAGGTCAGGGAACCAGTCTAGCTGGCTCGTACCCGTTCATAGGTTTGTAATCGATTGCAAACAAGTGCGATGGTCAATTGGCGCCAGTATTTGAAAAAAAGCCAGTTTTTTCCAACGCTGATCGGCCGATCAGCGTTGGAAATTGATACAAAAATACCACTTTTCTTGAAAATGACAGTATACCAGGTGCCATGATTTACACTGTCATTCACTAACAGTCCAGCAAGGTATTTCAAAATGATTTGGTAGTTTTATTTGTTGATGTTTGCAAATGTTGTATTTTCCCTTTAAAAAGACACTTGTTCAGAAAAAAAGGGGCACTTGTTCAGAAAAAAGGGCACTTGTTAACAACAGAAGGGCACTCTTTACAGATATTGGGGGGGGGGGGGGGGGGGGGTTAAACGCTTGTGAAAAAAGAGCATTTGAATGGAAAAGGGTAGTCTTTACACAATATTGGGGGGGGGGAGAGAAATACCTTACATCCCCCCCCCCAAAAAAAATATTGGGGGGTCTTGGAAAACACTCTTTTCTGTAGCGCTAAAGAGAAAAGAGGAAGTATCATGCCAGGCGGGCCGCGAGGTAATGTGGGAAAATAATCTTGGTGAATGGCTAGTGCCCTCTAGGGGGATATTGTAGTACTGCTCTGCGGGTTAGACGAGAGCAGTAGTATATAAAATTAAATGAGATGTTATAAGTTTTGCCTAAATAAACCCCCTATAATCTTCACTCTTCACCCTTAGGACACGTTTCTTGGGGGGTTCTGATTATCATTCCCCCCCCCCCCATATATAGTAGCATACTTTTACAATTTCTGAAACATAGTCATACAATAATGGAATTTCTACACATTCATGACATTGCTTCAGACCTTTGTCTATGTGTCGACTTCCAAACCCTCCACAAGTTAATTTGTAAAAATAATTGCATTATTATGCAAAGTTTTGTTTATGTCACAATAAGTTCAGGCTTCAACAAATGCATCACATACCTCTGTATCTTTATCTAGGTTCTGTGCTAAAGTACCTTCTCAGTAGTGAAAGTGTGTCACTGTCATTGCAGAGCACTTGCCAAGCAATGATTCTTGACACAGGTATGTGAATAAGTGTAAGCATTCCCTCTGTTCCAGACTATTTCCTGCCCCCTGCATTATGAGATCCAAGAATTAAGTGGAGGGACTGAATTTTTCCTGCTACATGTTGATTCCCCAATGTCAATGCACAAGCATGTTTCACAATGTGCCAAACAGAACACAGTGAATATGCATCTATAGCACATAACATCAATAAATTCATGCAGAGAACTTCCCATCAACTACCAGCTGCAAAATTAGTTTAAATACAATGTACAAAAGTTGTATTAAATTCACACAGTCCTGTCATAGATGCACAACTAAGTGGTATTATGTTCCTCCACTTCCGGCTATGTAGCCAACTATACTATTGCAGATAGACAAATTATTCTTATGCATGACATTTTTTGAAAGACAAAATAATAGAGCTACATGTATATTTAGCAAATCTTGCTTTAAAAAACACACATAAGCTTTTGAGTCTCTAATATCTTACACTTCCTTGACTGTCAATGACTGTCTGAACATGGCATCAACGAATCTGTGAGGAAAAATCCAGAAAAGACATAATACATTGTAGCTTAAAGGTAAAGAATAGATGGAATCTCAATAATTGTTCATCACCTGCCTTTGAAGCAGGTTCTGTGTTTAATGGAATATTAATAACTTGGATTACAGATTCGCTACTCAAAATATAAAGATCCGAAGACAAAAATTGCTGTAAGAAAATACATGTTTTGATGACAAAAATTACCTAGCACAAACAAAACAAGATATCGCAACAAAAATCCAAACAAAACAAAACAAAGTTAGAGCTGGCACATTTGTTGACCTAAAATGCAGGGTGATCGGGCAAGCAACTATTTCATTGGCCATTGTCCACTTCAGTTATGAATATTGTTAGGGCCATGTAAAAACAATAAACAAATCTTGAATTCTGCATTTTCCAGTGAATATTTTTTAATTTGAAAACAAAAAGGATTTTTTTTCTTGCTACTTCCCGTTTGTGACATCGGTAGTTAATTAAAGCTATAGTCCATCATTTGCAGCCATCCAAAAAAGGAAGGCCTTTCCAACGGTGCGTCTTAAGATGCACCGTAGGAAAATTTAAATTAGTAGTTCGTTTTATTTTTCGGCGCAGCGCGTGCAAGCATTGGCACGATGCACAGGCGCGCGTGGTTGCTATAATTTGTCGGTTCAGTGCGCGACATCGCGTATAGCTGCAATTCAAAACAAATCAAAACATGATTCAGCAACTTTTGATTTGAAATTGAGATCCTAGAATGCTGTTTTTCTCGGAATATACAGCTGAAGCTGAGCTGAAACTTCATCAGATTAGTTGTTCAGTATCCTTCATTAGATTTTGAACACTTTTGTTGCTTCAAACGAACAAAATGCACAAATTACAAATGATGGACTATATCTTTAATTTGGACAGGATATGCAATGTAAAGTGAAAAGAACTTCTGAATGTATAAGTGTATGTGTTGATTCCAGTTTGACGACTTTGTAGCATTAGAAAGCCAAACACCAACAGTATAAGATGATATCCTCATTTGTGCTACAAACATTGCCACTGAACATAGATTAAATCATGGATTTGAAAAACAAAATGATAATTTTCAAATTATCCCCACAATAACTTCCGGTCTGAAGATGTCATCATTCTGAAACTTCACACCGTCATTTGAGGTTGTCCAAAGAATGATCATTGGCAATTTACAATGTAGGTTGTCACAAGAGGGCGCAATATGTCCTTTATATTGAATATTTATTATATTTCACGACCCGTCTCCCTTATGTTGGTACGACATTTTGAATACGTTAATTGTGATTGATTTTTGGGATGTGGTACTCCGAATAAGGTCGAATTTGTGGCCCAAAGGCCCTGCTAACATCTCCAGTATTTGAGGCGCTGGTTTTTTTTTTTTAATATATACCAAAAAGCTTAATGGCACTTTGAGAGCCTCAAATTTTGAAAAGATGCAGAACTGGAAATCAGTTTTCATATATTTTTTTTGTAGCATGGACCTAGATTGATCTCCCGTAGCTTAATGAAAATCCTACAAATTTTGTTTATGTGAGTGACGTGTTGCTGAACTTGTCTTCTACTTGTCAAGAATTTTTTTTAAATCATTTTATTCAGTTTTAAAAGTAAATATAACATGCATTTGATGCCAAAATCCAACTTTACTATTAACTTTCTAAGCTTTCTATTATATTAAATTGGTAACAATGAAATGTTTAAAGACAGGATATGTGATGCTGCTGGCATTGTGGGATTATTCAAAAATTACCTAACTGTTAATTAAACTAAAACAATGTCAACTACAACTACTCATCAGAATTCTTGAGCCATATAAAAAATACTTTCTGGGGTATTGTTGTTGTGTTTCGGACGTTACAGCATAGTGTTAACATACATTTTTATCATCAGACAAATTTCAAATGAGGGAAAAATCTTACAATAAAAAAAATAGATTTCAACATTTTAAGTCCTCCTGTTGTGTTTTCTTTTTATATTTTATCAGGTCTTGTTTTTAGGAAGGTAATTCCAACTTAAAAAATATAAGTTAAGTCTATTTCTCACTACCTGTATGGCCATTTTACACTATAGTACATAGCCTTGGTCAATGCTCTCGTCGTTATTCGTCCCGTACGCGGTCAATCGTCGGCATACATGTATATCCTCACGCGCTATGCACATGCATGTAAAAATACAGCGCGAACAGCGACCTCACGCGGCCACTATTTTTATATGCAAATCAGTTGGGGACGATCGAGAGCCTTGGTTCAATCGTCCATGTGAGGTTTTGGAGGTGGTGCTCATTATGTTAATAGCCTTAGCTGACCTTAAATGTCGTTTTCTTATTGGTCGATCGTTGCGTGGAAAGTTGCATAGTGAAACGTGGCACCGTACATAATCCATACACGTACACGTTGTGTCTCTGCACACGGCACCAATGCACAAAAACTGTGGTTCCTGTCACGTCCGCAAAAGGCGAATAGCTGCAAATAATTTGATGACGTCCGGATTTACCAAGGTGTGATTGGACACTCCACATATTAGCCCCGCCTACACTTATCTGTATTCACATACGAGGTCGTGCGCTAGAAATCCAGCGCAAAATAAAGAAAAACATTAGCTTTTGCCGACGATTGAACCAAGGCTCGAGATCGTCCCCAACTGATTTGCATGAAAAAATAGTGGTCGCATGAGGTCGCTGTTCGCGCTGTATTTTTACATGCATGTGCATAGCGCGTGAGGATATATGCCGACGATTGACCGCGTACAGGACGAATAACGACGAGAGCATTGACCAAGGCTATATAGTACACCGAATTAAATTTAAGGAGACAACAAGATATGTTGTTTGATTGGTGTTGCAGCAAGATGGAATGAAGTAAAGTGTGAATTTTGGTTAAAATAACCCTTTTTTTCCTTAATATAATTAGGGATTTTTGAAACTAATTTTTGCACCTTGTTTTAACATGCAAAACTTGAGTGGTATTGTAAGTTTTGTATTTTAGAGAAAGGTGCAACTTCTGTATAAATAGAGCTCTTTTGTTTGATTATTAGTTTCATTTCGGTATGTTAAAACTTGTGCCAAAGATGGGCGGACAAACTGTAACGTTACGCTACATAAACCATAATGTAACTAACCAACGTTTTTAGCACTATGTTTTATGCTTATGACAGTCATTGAGAAATGTTATTACATGTATACCGGTATGTCAAAGCATTTGTCAGTAAGTAAGCAATTAAAGAAAAACTATCATTTATTTCAGCTGTATCCCATTTGAGGGAACTTTTTATACAAAGACACATATTTTTGGCTGTTTCGGCAACCGGCCGAAACAGCCTTTGTTTTCGTTAAAATTTATTTATTTATTTATTTTTTATTTTTTTGCTTTTTCGCAAATTTGCGAAAAAGCCTTTGTTTTTGTTGTGATTTTTTTTTTTGGGGGGGGGGTTTTTTCTTTTTTGTGCCATAAATCCCATAGACTTTGTACACGATTTTAGTACATGCCACTTTTGGCATTGAACTTTGTCACACATCATTCAAATTAAGCATATGCATTGTCCTTATGGCAAAGTTGTGTCCCGAAGAGTGACGTCATGATTACGTCATCAGGGGTCACGTGACGTCATCACAAACATGCATATTTTGAAGTCTTATATCTACAGGACAGTAAGTCCGATTGGGTTGAAACTTGATATGTGGGTAGACCGGGATGTGTTATAGATAAAAATTGAGGTGACATCATGATGACGTCATCATGCGATTTTCTATGAATATTTTAATTTTTGGACCTTTAACCCATATCTCACGAACGCAACATGCAAAATTCAAAATTCTTTTTGTATTTGGTTCGTTATGGAATAGGTATTTGCACAAAATTTTAAAAAAAATATGGGACGTCATCATGACGTCATCAAAAATGTGATTTTTCAAAGCACATATAAGGAAAGGTCCGATCGTCATGAAACTTGGTGGGTAGGTAGATAAGTGTACTAGTATGCAAAGTCCGAAGTGACGTCATGATGATGTCATCATTCGATTTTTTATGATTTTTTAAATATTTAAAATTTTATTCTGCTTCCAAAATTGCACACTTCCTTTTATCAGATTGACTTTAAGCTTGGTTCAAACCAAGACCACAATGACAAAATGTGCATTGGGGATGGTATTCAAGATGACGTCATCGCAGGGCATGTGAAGGACAAAGAGAAGGGTTTTCAAAGTGACGTCATTGCAGGGCATGTGACCTCATGTGATAAAGTTTTATTGGAATTATTCTAAGCATTTTGAACAAACTTTGACTGTATTAAACACTCTAAAAAGTGGCTGCAAAGGGACAAACATAGCATAAACATTTATGAAATGCGAAAAAGCCCTGTGTTCTGTTTTCAAACAGACATACACATGTACAGCTCTAGTTTTTTTTTCTTTTTCAGTCATTTTTGCCCATAGCATTTGTACACGTATTTTTGTTACCGGCACTTTGGCCACTAAAATCAATCCGATTGCCTTAATACTCGGCACACACTTAGACCAGCATCTGTAGTTGATCCCCGAACATTGACGTCATCATGACGTCATCACGAGTCACGTGACGTCACATTATATGCGAATTTTCTGTTGTAACCATTTTCTAGCAGAATTTGGCTAGATCTGACAGATTGGGCTATATCTCCAGAACTACAGGTCCAATTGAGTTGAAAGTTGGTATGTACCTAGACCGGGATGTCCTATAGATGAAAATCAACTTGACGTCATGATGACGTCATCACGTGACATATGACGTCATGTATAATAAACATATTTTGAAGGCCTATATCTCCTGAACTACAGGTCCGATGGGGTTGAAAGTTGGTATGTACCGAGACCGGGATGTGTTATAGATGAAAATTGAAGTGACATCACGATGACGTCATCATGACATCATCATGGGTCACGTGACGTCACGTTAAAGATTAATAGATCTTTGAAAATCAATATAAAATCAACCGTGAGAGACCTGAACTTAACGTTTGTG